GTGAGCGGCGCAGGCTAATGGCGTCACCACTTCGCGGGGCCCGCCCCTTTCGTCATCGACGGCGCCACCTAGAAAGCCCCGCCTCCCGGCCGCAGGGTCGGCCCCCGGGCGCTCCCGGTTGGCCCGGCGAGTCACGCTGGACTCCCCATTGGCAAGCGGTGCCGTCCGTTGGCCCCGCGCGGCGCAGAGCTTGCTGGGAGTTGTAGGCGAGGTGTTTCCCGGGCCCGGAGGCCTTTGACGCGCGGAACGTCACCCCGCGCGTGGCAGCCCTTTGGCTTCTGCGGTTTATTTTAGTTCGCGAGTTGCGCCTGCCGGGCGTGCGGGTTACCGGCGCTCTCTAGCTTCTGCCTTTTCCCGGGGGTAAGGTCCCCGGGCCCTCGTGCTGGGACCTGATGTGGGCCCGGGCCCAGCCGCCCTGGGGGTGGAGGCGACCACGGAGGGGACCGGGAGCGGGGAGCTGGACTCCGGATTCCGGGGGGCTGGAGAGGTCGTGGCTTCGCGCGTCTGGGCCACGCTGCCGGCGACTTGGGAGGTTAACACAGGTCACCCAGAACGCTAGGCGAGGGTCGGCAGGAAAGGCGCGCGTGTGCCCCGCCGCTTTATCAGCCCGGTCACAATGGGGCAGTGGAGGATGTCAGAGAGCCACACGCCCTTTGTGGGCTCACAAGATGCTCGGGGTGATGAGCCCAGGAGGCGGCCTTTGCAACGTGTCTCCGCCTTTCGGGTGTCCTGACCATGTGTCGCCTGGTTCGGCTCATTGGAACCTCCCGAATCCAGAAAAGGTGGCGCTAGCGCTCCTGACCCCCCACTTGTCGCCAGTCGCCTACAAAGTTTCGATCGGAAAAACAAAACCCGTTGATTCCAAACTGTGAAAAAGAAACTATGTAAAAAAGTTGGGAGGTCTGGTGAGCGCCGTAACCCGCAGCGGGTTAAAGCACAGCACTAAGAAGCTAAAGCCACTGCAGCATGAGTTCGATCCCTGGCCCTGGGGTGACCCCGCATGGCGTGGCAGGCCTCTCCTGACCCGCCCGCTGCTCCCCTCAGCAGTGTACTTCGTCAGTCGACCTGTTCTGCTCCCCGCTCTTCCTCCGGTGAAGCCTCTCACCGCACCTGCACCCCTGGCCTGTACCCCAGCCCTGTATGCTTAAATAAATAAATCTTAAAAAAAAAAAAAAAAAGAGGGGGGGGGGGGGGCTCTAGCCATTTCCCAAATGTAACATTTCAATGAGTCAAATGCCACTTTTTAGAACCAAAATCACCTGTAATTTACAAAATTAAGGGTGCCTGCAAAGGGCCTTTCTGAGAAGAATTTTACCTGGGTTGCTTCCGCCTCTTGTGCTCTCCACGCCTCCTGTGCTCGGAATCTGTGTTCTGCATCCCTGTGTGCTGGAGTCAGTGGCAGGAGCGGCAGATGGGCTTGCTGCATGTTGTGGCTCAGACGTCACCCCACAGCCCTCCCGGCTGCTCTGGCCATCTCTTATTCATGCTCTCGCACTTTGCATGGCAGATGTCTACGGTTCTCTTGTTGAAGAAGTACTTTATCATTTACATGTGCATTGTTTCATTTAATCCTTTAACAACTCAGAAAACTGAGTCTCAGAGAGGTCTGGTGATAAGCCTAGTGTAACACACCTGAGACACGAACCCTTGTCTTAGATGCCTGACCCAAGATCCTATCCCAGTCAGTTACTGTTTTCTTTCCCACTGTTGTGAACTCCCCTATTGTATTCTCGTGACCATATCATTGCCTTCCCGTTCATCCTGAAACCTTATAGTGCTCCTGGCCTCTTTTCTCTGTTTCCATGTCCATACAAGTACCAGAATCTTTCCATCCCAACTGCCAATACGTGACTGCAGACTTTAGGCTGACACAGGACTTTATCACTGTCAACTCACATTACAGTGGTCTCTGGGTTATCCCAGCCCGTCACCTTTTTTGGCTCCCTCCTACACAGTTTTTCCAGATTAATTATAAAATGCTCTAAGTCAGTCTTCATTCTAAATGTTTCAGTCATTTGCTCTCTCCATAGGTAAACTCTGGATTCCTTAGTCGGCCGAGCCTGGCTTTTGATGTATTCCCTCTGCACTGCCTAGCACACTGCTTGGTCTGCCAATTCTGGCTGCAGAATTCTTCCACTTTTATTATTTAAATGACCCCTCCCCATCACACCTGCTTCATTCTACCTCCTTGAATCCCCAGTTCTTTCTTTCTTTTGTTTTTATTAATGATGTGTCATTATCTTACATCCTGTTTTTTTCTCAGTGGAGGTTTTCTCCCCTCAGGCATGGTGGACATAGTTTTCCCAAAACAAAGCACCCACACCACACGGTGGTCTCCTTCCCAGCCACCCCCTAGGTTTTAGCCTCTCCCCTTTCCCCCTGGGTGCTTCAGACCCAGCTTTCAAGGGTCAGTTTTGAAGTTTATCCGATCGTTTCTTTGGTTTCTCTGTATTCCACATAGAGTGACACTGCTTGGTATTTATCGAAAACTCCCTGTTATTTCAAGGTTCCAGATTTGAAATCTAAAGCTCATTGGCCTACACATTCACTTTGCAGTTTGTACTACATTGAAATAGTAAGTGAATCATGCAGCTACATGTATGTGTTAGTGGGCATGAGTATATGTGTATACGCAACACATACAGTACCTGTGTGTGCACCCACACATTCTTTGTCTTTTGAGATGAAATACCCTTTGCCACCAACCTAGTGTGGGCACCGTAGGCATCTAATAAAGGCTTGTTATTGCTGAGGCAGGGAGCGCGGCCTCCTGGCCCCAGAGTGTGGCCCTCGCTTCAGGCCTTCTCATGGTTGCGCCTGCGGCTTGCTTGGGACACCCAGCCCTTCTCTCCCCCGTGAACTCCTATGCATTCAGCAAAGCTTGGTCTTCCAGACTTCAGCTTCTCTGGGAATCCTCCAACAACCACGTCTTTTTTTGAGATGCCGGTGGGACGCAGCGAGGGCCCTCCTCAAGTCTCCAACAGCATTTCGGTTGTGTCTGCCTGTTAGATTCTGCCCTCTGTGCTCTTTGCGCCCTCCCTGCCCTCACTGACCTCCTGAGGACGAAGGATGAGCTTGTATTTTGCCCACCCGACACTGAGCATGGTGTCTGAAATAATGTGATTTAGAAATGTTTCCAGTGATGGCCACGACTCAAGTTTAGTTTCTAAGAAACTAGTCACAATGCCAAGATAGATGACTGAGGAAATCCATAGTTTATTTCTGTCATATTAGGATTTTGTATTCGTTGTTATGTTTGCCTTCTGAGTTTGAGTCTTTCCTGAAATGCAGTCTTTAGTGCCATCTGGTGGAAGTAATTGCAGTGGAAGTTCTGATAAAGTTGAGATGGTGCTCACTTGTCTTCTATTTTGTGTATCTGGAACTGAGACAGGTCGACGTATGCAGAATTTGTGGCGCTGCATTTGATTTTTATCTGGAAATACACTGTCACCTGAGCCAATTCTAAGTATCTAGCAAATTATCCAACAAATTGTAATCTCCTATACCTGATACTGGACTACTCTTGTGATAAAAATTGTGATAAGTAGACAACTCCTCAGCTTTGAGAAGGTGTAAAATAAAACGGCTGGTTTATTCGAGATTTCAGAGCTCTTTTTGTGTAATTGCCTGTAGGTCACCTGAGCTCAGTGAGACATCATTTCCATTATTATTTAATAACCTTGCCTACCCTTTCAGAAAAAAAAATTTCCCAGCAGTCTTTTTCAAGGTCTTCTTGCTCTCCTCACTCCCTCCCAATTGTCCAACATGCTCAGCCACGCCCCTGGGCAGAGTTCGGTTGGCTGGTGGGAAGCTGCCTCCCGCGCTCCCTGGTCTAGAGTAATAAGCTTTACGCTCAGTCTTCTCTGTTGCATATTCTCCTCCTCTCTCTCTGTGGATTTCTTTTCTGTGTTGATCAAGTAACAATACTAACCTGTTTTGAAATAAGGATTCAAGAAGCGCTTGATACATTCCACTCATTCATTCAGAAGTGAATGTGCCTGTGTGGTGAGACTGGTCTTTTAGATCACTTATCTTCCGTGTGAAATGTATGGCATTAAATAAGTCGGTGCTGTGCTAAGGGAAACGGTACACTTAGAGATTGAGTTTGTGCCGCATACAGCAAGAACCCCAACAATGCCTCAGAGTGCTGTGCGGTGCATAGCACCCAATGGAGAATGAACCCAAAAAGGCACATTTGTACTCTGTAAATTGCTTTAAGCTTGGCATCTGCTATTTTCCCCCTCTCTTAGGGTTCTTGCATTATTTATACTTAACAAACATGTTGGCTTGCAAGACTAATCATAAACGTGGACTTCGAAGCAGCCCTTTGCTGAGAGATCCATGCAGGTGGCAGCTTGCCCGATGGCCCGTCATCCAGGGCCAGTGCTGTTTAAGCTGGGTTCTTCGGGTACCCACAGTGTCTGGCTGCGTGTCTGGCTCATGCGGGGTTAGCAGTAAGTAGTTTTTACATGACAAAGTCCAGCCACTACGGGGCAAAGACCTGGGCACCAGGCTGCCCGGGCACCAGGCTGCCCGGACCCCCGTCCGTGGCTCCCGACTCCCACCTGCTGCGTGGTTCACTCTAACGCCTTGTCTCCCATCGGACTGCTATTCTTTTTTTTTTTTTTTTTAATTGAGGTGACTTTGATCACAACACTGTGCAGACTTAGGAGTACAGACAGGTTCACACCTCTTTGAAAGTGTGCAACCCCCGCCCCCCAGCAAAGCACCGGCCACCCCCCACCACCCACCACAGTTCACTGGGCCCCTCCACCTTCGCTCCCACCCGCCCCCTCTGGTAACCTCATTCTGCAGTGAGATTCCAAGGGTTTCTTTTGCCTGTTTCTTTGCTTTGTTTCTTGATATTTCTCAGGTGAGTGAGATCATCAGGTATTTGTCTTTCTACTTTTGATTGGTTTCACTGAGCAGAATCTCCTCCAGCTCCATCCACGTTGTTGCGAACTGCAAGATTTCATCTTCCATTTTTCAGCTGAGTAGTAGTCCGTTATGTATTGTGTATCACACCTTCTCAGTGTGCCCATCTGCCCTTGGCACGTAGGTGGTTCCTCACCAGTACTGCTTTTTGAAACATTTACTTATTTATACACACAAGAGCTGGGGTGCAGGCCAGAGGTGCAAGGGTGAGAGGACTCCACAGAGACAGAATGGGGAGCAGCTTCAGCACTGGGCCCTCCTCCTTCACCCCTGCCCTGAGAAAGTGGGGAGCAGTGAGTGATGCCCAAGCACCCACCCCTCGGCTCTGCCAGTTAACAGTGTTCTGTTGTGACAGTCATCCACTTCTCCAGCTCTTACTTTTTTATTATCATTTTTGTTCGCTGAAATCTATGAACTAAAATCTTAGGTATGTCATTTTGTTAAATTACATTAAGATTACATGAAACTACTTATTGGGAAATTGGAAAATATTCCTTATGTATAAAGGAAAATATTTTGTTTTTCAGTGAAGGCTTTTTAATTTGAAAAATGTCGTCGACAGTTAAATATCAATTTTCTTTGTTTTTAAATTTCCTCCTTTATTTCACAGAGGCCTGAGGTGGGAGGTAGACATTTAATAATGGGTTTTCTGACTATAAATAAAACATTTATGCACTGTGCTTTATGTCATGCTGTTTTCTTCACAAGATTCCGTGGAATTGCAGATTCCTTTGTTATAGCACTCTACTTTCTGTTTTTCTCTCCCTTCTTTTTTAGGGGGAGGAAGAAGTGCTGTTGAAAATGTTACGCAAATAAATGCCTTTCCCCTCATATAAAGCCCGAATGCGGTGAGTGGAAACGGGCAGGCATCATTTAACGTAGCGTCTTTCCTGATGCAAATACCAGCTCCCTTCTGAGCTAAAGTGCCTCGCACCCTGACAACAGCATTTAGGCCCGGACAGAATATAATATATTATGTCATATAGGGAAGTCTGTACATTAGTCCCTGACGTGTTGCAAGGAATTATAAATAAATAATGTTCCTGGATGCAAGAAAACATAAGTAATCCGCACCAGCCAAGGCAAAGCCCAGTTATGTATGTCATGTGGACAGCCCCTATTTTTTTTAAGCACCTGTTTCTAGGTAGCATTTAAACCTCCACTGTGTTTTAATAAATTCTTTAGATTTTTTTGCCCAGTGTGCAGGACCTGAAATCCTTTCTTTCTTCTATTATTGATAAGGAATTCACAGTGTTTTCAGGGAACTCTGGAAGACAAATCCTTCTGGCTTTAGCATTTCATGACTTTCTTTTAAACAGAGTCCCATCAAGAACATCTTTGGAATGCTACACGCCGAGCACCAGACTAGAGAGGGGTTCAGCAGAGAGGGTGCCTGTGAGCATCTGGGGGCTAAGCAGCAGCAGTGGGGTGCAAAGACGGCTGAGGAGCTGGCTCTGGACTATCACACGATAGCTGAACACTTTATCCTTGCTGTGTCCAGCGTGGCTCACTGCTTCAGGCTTGTGGTGTCCAGCGTGGGACCCACTAGCCATATGTCACTTTGAAACACTTGAACTGAGGTTAGTGCAAACTAGAAATAGAAAGAGTTCCCAGTTTTCAAAGATTTATGGTGGCGAAGAGTAAAATAGCTCATTGGTACTTCTCTGTAGTGCTTGCATGTTGAAATTATAAATATACTTTATTCTTTACACTTTATACTTATTTTTGAACTGTGGTAATGTTGGTTTAGAGAGTCATATGTGTTTCAGGAGGGTCACACCTCTTCAGATATGTGCAGCCACCCCACAGCCACCACTGAGGCATCGGCTGTCTCCAGCAGCAGCCGCTGGGCCCCCCGCCAGTCCCGCATCGGACCCCAAATCTTGCTGTGGTTTCGCTTTGTCTGTTCCTTTGCTTTGGCCACTTACACTCCACAAATGAGTGAAGTCATCTGGTGTTTGCTTTTCCCATTCTGACTTATTTTTCTTAACATAATCCCATCCAGCTCCATCCATGTTGTTGCCAATGGTCAGAGTCCCTCCTTTTCTTTCACACAGCTGAGTAATATTCCACCACGGTGCATATCAACCACTTCTTTATCCACTAATTTGTTGCTGGGCCCATGATTCCCTTGAGCAGAAATACCAAATTAAGGCAGGAACAGTTAATTTGAAGAGAAGTGGATAGATGATAGAGGAGTTTTGGCAACATAGTTGACAAGAATTACTAACCAAATAGTTAGGATGTGTTAGGGATCAAAGCAATAATTGGCAAATAATTAGCGAGTGCGCTAAAAAAAAAAAAGACTCTTAAGAGCTCTAGCTTACATGACTTCAATGAATAATTAAAAAACTGGTCATACATTGGCCCTCCCTGGTGGCGCAGCGGGTTAAAGCACAGCATTGAGAATCTAAAGCTGCTTCCGCATGAGTTCGATCCCCGCCTGCCCCGGAGGTGACCCACATGGCGCGGCAGACCTCTCCTGACCCGTCCGCTGCTCCCCTCAGCAGTGGACTTCGTCGATCTGCCTGTTCTGCTCCCCAGTCTGTCTCTGGTGAAGCCTCTCGCCGCCCCTGAGCCTCTGGCCTGTACCCCAGTTCTGTATGCACAAATAAATAAATCTTTAAAAAAAAAAACTGGTCATACATAAGTCATACCTAAACTCACAAAGATGAGTCAGAACGAGGTCATTCTGGGTGGAAGGACTGTCCGGCCCTGGGCTACAGTCCTCGTTTGCCTCGTTGGGCCTCGCTCTGTGCTGCCTTACCTTATCTTGCAACCAACCCAGAAATCCAAGCCAGACCAGCTGAGTTAAAGAAGGAGGTAGAAGTAAGACGAGGATTAACCCGGGGCCTCGTCACCATGCCCACCAGCCCCGAGACAGACCCACAGACCCGGGTGAGATGAGGCAAAGGGGCGTGAACACCGTCCCTAGGAACCCCAGCCCATTTCTCTGAACTCCTACTGATGCAGACCCGTTCGCCTCTCCCCTTCTCAGTGTCCCGCAGATAAGTCCCTGCATGTCTCCACCTTGGGGAGATGACCTTTGAGACGCTGTCCTCCACCTCCTGAGATCATGGGCTCCAGGCTAACCGTGATTTCCTGCCATCAGCTCGTGTGTCTGGAGTTCGGCTTTTGAGCACAAGGACCCCTGACTCAGACCACAGCCCTGGGCAGCTGCTGGGAGACAGTGGAAGCCAAAGATAAAAATGTGAGCATCATCATCCTTTGATAACTACCAGAAACATATGTGAGCTTTCCTACAGTGTCTGTGTCCTTTGGTGTAGTTCTATTTACTCCATAATATACGTGGAAACATTTTTACTGTTTTATTACTGATCATGGCAGGGTTCTGGCCCACGGTTCACTCAGCAAGCAGTTGATTGTCTGCAGCAGAGGGCAGCTGAAGGATGTATCCCGTAGTGGACTCAAGCTGTCTGTGCGTGGGGAGTCAGAGAGTGGGTGGTCTTCACCCCCCAGAAAAGATGGGGTGACTACAGCGGGCTTGGCTTGCTTATTTGTTTTGCTTTTTAAGATCACAGCTTGGGTTTTCCTGTGAACTTGAGCAGAGTCCTCCAGGCCTCTTTCCACACCTGCCCGGAGCTGGCTCACCCAGACATGGGCCACAGCCTCGGGACAGCTGATTCCCGAGCGTGAGAGGATTTCCTGTCTAACCAGTTCTGCAGTTGGGGGACCCCACAGAGTCATCATGGCTGACCCTTCTTTTCGACAA